GGCACAGAAATATATTCTTGATATATATATATATATATATATATATATATATATATATATATATATATATATATATATAAGAAATATACATAAATATATATATATATATATGTATGAAGAAATATATATATATATATATATATATATAAAAAAATATACTCTTAAGGTGTGCTATATTTATGGGATAAAAATGCTCAATATCAGAGATAGAGCGTGTGTAAATAAAGATATATTTATAAATTATAAAGATTATTTATAAATTATAAAGATTATTTATAAATAATATATATATATATATATATATATATATATATATATATATATATATATTTTTAAGCATTTCACCCCAAGCAAGAAGGGAGTGCCACTAGCACAAAAGGGGTTACAGAGAGTGAGAGAAAGAGGCGTGAAAGAGGAAAGGATGAAGAGAAGAGCGGGGAATAGATCAAGGCATCTGGATATGTCGATTGACATTGCATTTGAATATTTGAAGATTATAGCTAACAGGGAAGTAAGTAAGAGGAAGTGAGTTCCACAGATGGGAAGTGCGAGACATGAATCTACTGGAGTAGAAGATACAGCTACATTTTTTTTATATAATTCCTTTCGTTTCTGTTAAATACTTTACTCCTTCCTTTTATGGTGATTCCTTTTTGAGGACAGAAAATTCTCCGATAATCTGGATATATCTTAATTATTTTTCTCGTTTCAATTTTTTCCACATTTTCCGACATTTCCGACTGATTGACTTACAAATGTGATATTAGATTATGAGACAGCGAACAATAATTCACTTTTGATCGGAATTTTTTTTTTGCTTTATATATTTAATTTTTTAATTTATATATTTTATTTTTCTATATATTTATTTATTTATTTTATATATTTTATTATTTTATATATTTATATATTTTAATTTATATATTTAATTACTTTTTTAATTTATATATTTATATATTTATTTTTCTCGTTTCAATTTTTCGACATTTTCCCACATAATTTCCGAGTGATTGACTTACGAATGTAATATTAGATTATCAGACAGCGAACAATAATTCACTTTTAATAGAAACAAGCTTTTTTTTTTATTTATTTATCAATCATTTGATTTATTTACCCTAAGCGGCCCCACGGATTTGTAAATATGGGTTGGGTTAAATTATTTATAAAGATGACGTGACTTTTGGTGAATGTAACCTGAAAGATTACAGAATTAATTCAATGTCGTAACAAAGGATCAAATAAAAAAATGATTTCTATTTTAATTTTCGTGATGGGGTCTTATCATTATTTACTTGATTTACACTCGAACTATTGTCTTCATCTTAGCTGTTTTCATCAAAACGTTTCGACTATTGCGCCCCTCGGTCCTCATCAGTTTCTGGTCGATTCGATTAACTTCCAGGGAATTTCAAACTGAACCCTTTATTATATCTACGGGCGTATGTTTTCTAGTCCCGCTCAGCATGTCACGGGACTATATCTTGTTTTAATAAAGCTTTGGTGGGTGAATTTGGGGATATAGTGATGGTGAGTTCGATCCCTAGTATGGGTGCTGAAAGCATAGATTCAGTTGAAATGAGGAGGACATTAGCTGGACAGTACTAAATCAGAACTAGACCAGGTATTCCCAGACATGGTTAGCGGAACGAGAACAATCTAACCAAGTAGATTAAATAAAGGGTTCAGGTCAAAATTTCCTGAAGGTAAACTTAATCGACAAACACCTGATGAAGACCGATGGCACCACAGCCGAAACGTTGTGAGAATAACAAAAAAGATGAGGATAATCGACAAACACCTGATGAAGACCGAAGGCACCACTGCCGAAACGTTGTAAGGATAAGAAAGATGAGTACAATAGATTTTTTAATTAATAATGATATTTACTCATGTAAGTATTACTAACTAACTCATAGCCGGGGGAGAAAAATTGGATTCATACCCAATCAGAATTTGATAAACAATCAAGAAATTTTAATATGGATATAAAGTGAGGGATCAAATATATATTAAAATAAATATATAAACTGATCCCTCACTTTTTGGTTACGGTTGTTTCAATACATTTCTATTCCAGAGAATGTAAATAAATAAAAAATACATCCATGTGTATCTAAGCAGTATTTCATTGAATGATTCATTCGTTTTTTTTGCGGTTTATCAACCCTTTGCAGGTTATTTAAAGCCAGAAATTATTTTTAGAGGGTAAGAATTTTTCGTACAGTTCTTCGTTTGTAATTCTGTAGCGACAGTTCCAAGCATTTCGAAGCAGCAGGCTTCATTTACTGGAAGTCATTTTAATTGGTTGTATGTAGCTGACAGTTTAAACATCTCTAAATGAGTCGAACGCTATTCATGGCATCCATATAAAAGTCTACATTTGCCGAGGCAATTTAAAAACAGGAATAAAAACTTTTAAGTTCATGTTAGCCGAATCTAATCCGAACGAAGTGTTGTTGCTATATGAGTGTAAGCAACTGAAATGATGGTGTTAAAATGTGCATGAATTGTTTAATGTTAAAATACAACCACTTTTTAGGAGAGAACTATTTCATATTGGTGTCAAATCTGCTTTTAACGGAAATCCTAAAAGATGATGATTCTTGTTTAATGTCAGTACATAATGGCGGAAGTTCCGATAAATTTCAGAGGCTGGTACAGGAATTATTAATATGTTTTATTTTTAAACAGTAAAGAAACATTCCCTTCAATGAATAAATTCAGAAATATGTTTTGCAGTAGATTGAACTTCTTAGCTGCAGGGAAGATTATATGATTAATTGTTTTTGTATAGCGTCATATCAAACCCTATTTAATGCCGAAATCTGAATATTTTGTACGCAATTTTTTTTTTAAATAATAATGGTTTTAGTGATATAAGTCTTACTAATTAACCCATACTTAGGGGGAGAAAAAGTGGATTCATACCTTTACCAATGGTATTTGCGCATAAGGGAATATAACAAACCCAACTGAAATTGGAACTTGGCACTCCAATTAACATTACCAAGCCATTATCCATTACACCACCAGCACATCCAAGATTACAACATCTGGTATTATTGAAGAGGAAAGTTGACTGGGAAACAAGAACCCAGAAGAAAGTCCCACAGGAGAGATGTGCACTGGAAGAAACTATTAACATAGGACTTACGGTTACAATTAACAATTTCAGCTGCAAGAAGAAACATTTGGGGATAATAAAATAAGCAGACCTCTATCTCCCCTCTCGCTTGTAACTATCTATCCCAATAAATATAACGTTTTCAGCGAAGATTAAGACAAGAGTTTGAACAATGTAAATAGTGTAAATAATTACAATACATCATTTCAGAAATATAGAGAGCTCCTGAAGGAAACCGAAACTTACAATGGTTGAAACGTCTTGAATAGGGCAACGAAGGTTAGGACAAGACCCCGAATGATGTAAATAGTGTAAATAATTACAATACCTCATCTCAAAAATATAGACAGATCCTGAAGAAAGCCGGAGCGTACAACGGCCGAAACGTCGTGAATATGGCAACGAAGATTAGGACCAGAATCTGTACAATGTAAATAGTTGTAAATTATTCATGCAAATAAAAGTTAAAGTTATTAGGTTGGATAGGAAAGAAGAAAAGCCTTATAGGAAGGTTGGTTGTTTTTGTTTAGCAGCATATCAACACCTCTATGGGTTATTTGATGCCGAAATCTAAATATTTTGCACGGAATCATATGCTTTCGTCTACAGATATTTTCTACATTTTTTCATACTTAAAGGGTAAACGTATATTTTTAGGTATGCAGTTTGTATATGATAAAATGTTTGTAAGTTTTTCGTCTTTAGGTAAGTGTGGTAATAAGCAAACCCCCATCTCCCCTCTCGCTTGTAACTATCCACCCCAATAAATATAACGTTGCCAGCGTTAAAGATGAAATAGTCTTATAAAGCTTCATTAATATCTGGAAACCATTTTAATCATTGCTCTGAGAAATTGGTTGTATATAGCTGAGAGTTTAGACAATTCTGAACGAGTCGGACGCCATGCATGACATCCATATGAATGCCTAACATTTAACGAGGTAATTTAAGAAAAGGAATAGAGCTTTTAGGTTAACGTTGGCCTAATCTACTCCGAACGAAGCCTAACTTATGCTCAATTTCCTTATCTCCTGAACTATTTTTTTTTATGATTTAAACGTTATTTGAGTTCTCTGTCCGTTTATATAATAAAGAGTATGTTTATTTATTTTCCCATACCGACCAGAATGTTCGAGAAATCTTATTAAAGGTAAATTTACCCTCTTCAACAGGAATCTAACCTACATCCCCCAGGGTAGAGCGAGCCAACTTTTTAGCCCGGTGCGCCTCGCCGCTTGGCCACGAAGAAACAGACGGTCATGTGAAGCCAATTTTATGTTATGAAAGCTAAATTTCTCTCGAAGTTTTTTTTATACCTGCACAGAGTTTCATATCTAAACATAGAAGAAGTGAATTTTAGAATGGATCTGTATTAATCAGAAAGATTGCTTATTACTATAAACCTTATTATTAGTGGATATTCCTATTTGATTTGGTGCTACATTTATAGTATAATTATTTGCGCCTACCAGCCTGAATGAAAATCTTTATATTCATTAATATTTATTAATTTTACATATTAAATTTTTATAATGGATTCAGGATAGGTTTTATCACCACTTTCATTCCTATTGCAGACCTTATTTTCTGTTTTGGAAAGGTTTCTATTTCTTGGAACACTTGGTGAAAAATATCTTTTTTTTTTTTGTTCAAGGTCATTGTCGTTCCAACTAGGAATATCTATGTCATCAGCATATCAGCTTTTATCATCAGTGCATTGGACTCAGAAGGGGAAGCAGAATCGTTATTTTCAATTAGTAGACCCGTTTGGGATAACCATAGTTTGCTTGCACGACCTCGATCACTTTTAATCCACGACGAGAAATTATTTGCTTTTTTTTAAGCAGTATCGGAATTCCGAAACCTTCTTGCGGCGTACTATTTTTTATTACTTTAATACTTACTAGTAATTCTGAAATTAAAATTCTGTTGTTTCCGATTTATACTATAGAATCCCATTTCTGTTGCTTCAAGTCTCTTCTTCATCTTTGATGAGATTGTCCATATTCACAACAGAAATGTTGTTCTACAGAAGGATGATGAGGATACCCTGGAACGAATATTTGAGCAACGGCGAAGTTTTAGAGAAAATGAAAGCAAAAAGGAAACTTATAATTAACATTAGGAAGAAACAGTGGAAATTTCTTGCGACCGTAATGAGGAAAGACGGCTTGTAAAATGTGATACTCACGAGATGGTTTGAAGGCAAAAGGTACAGAGGAAACACAACACATAACATGCTTAGTGAGCTTGATTGAATAACTAGAGGAACAGAGTTTAGGAGAAATAACAAAAAGATAAAATTTATTAAGAACTGAAAAGTACAGGAAATTGTGGAGAGTCATGATCGCCCAAGTCCTGAAGGGACACGGCACATAAAGAAGAATGCCTGTTCGTTTATTGCTCTCTCTCTCTTTAATAAAATTTTCTTATTTTCTTTCACACCCAGTAACCCCTTGCGTCTTAGTGGCTTTATTACCTTGCTTGAGGTGAAATGACAAAAAATCAATATTTTTCTATTGGTCATGATATCTCGGCTTCAGTCAATTCCTCAACGCCATAATGTACTTTCTCTATGCCTTTCTCATAAATACTTTCGGGGTAATTGTTCGGAAGAACTTTTTGCTATGGTACCTAGAAATTTATAAATTTGAACGCAGTATTAGACTAACAATGAGGTACCGTCAGTTTACAGTTCAGTTTAGATATAAGCGTAAATTCTATGCTAACAGTTTCTTTTCTCGCACTTCTCGCTTGTGGAACTCTCTTCCTACTCCATGCTTTCCAGCCAACTTCGACCTTCAAAAATCTAAATGCAATGCCAATCGTTATCTACTGTCTTCTTGGTCCCGCTTCTTTTATTGTTCTCGCTCCTTAATAATGTTTCTCTTTTTTTTTTCTTATTCATTCACATTCGGTAACGGCTTGTGTGTCAGTGGTTTTACAGCATTGCTTGGGGTGAAATGATTTTTAAAAATACACAGCCATTATTATTTGATGTATAAGACAATATATGAATTCGAAACCTTTCTTGAGACGTGTACGCTGGGTAGTATACAATCTCATGGCCGGAAAAAACGTTCTTGATACACGAACGTAATCGAAATTACTGTCCCTTCAAGGCAGATGTGGGCGATATATCGACATCAAAGAATCGAAACGGCGTGACGCTCTGAATTTCACTAATAATCTCCATAATAAACTGAACCAACCCGAACGTTTCACCACGCCAAACGTTTTTTGTCGCTATCTCCGGGCTCAGGTCTCATCTGCCCGACGGTGAGAAACGATCTTTGAGCTTTCTCAAAGACTCGTTTCTTTGCATGGCTAAATTGTTTACCGAAACGACAACGCGATGCGCTCTTTTTACCCTTCATCCAATTTTTAGGTTTGGTAAAAACGGAGAAGGAAATAAAAGAACTTAAAAGTGATTCTGTAAATCGTCTGTTCGATTTAATATCATTCCTTGGCTGCCAATTCTGCTCCAAGAATTTTTTTTTTATTTTACTAAATATATCTTTTTATCTTCTGGCATTTTATTTTTCTTTCTCAAGCAAAACGTGTGAAGAATATGATCGTGTAAACTCGGAGTTAAACATGAACGAAAGAAAGAAAAGAAAGAAAGAATAGAGGAAAAATTAGAAAGAAAGAAAGAAAGAAAGAAAGAAAGAATATAATAAAAAGAAATATTTTGGAAAATAAGCAACAATGAAAGAAAGAATAGAATGAAAGAAGCAACGAAAAAGAAAAAAAAAAAGAAATAAAACCACTTAAAATAAAACTGGTTTTTCGAAATAAAGTATAGAGAAAAAAGAAAGAAAATGTTTAAGAAACAAAGAAATAAAGGAAGAAGAAATGAAAAAATTTAGAAAGAAAGAATGGAAAAAAAGAAAGGGGAAAGAAAAACGGGTTATGAAATAAAACTGGTCAAAATAAAAGTGCTTATAAGAGAGTATAGAGGAAAAAGATAGAAAATATTTTGGAAAGTAAGCAAGAACGAAAAAATGAAAAGAAAGCAAAAAAAGAATTATTATTAATTAAGAAAATATTTAAAATAAAAGAATGAACGAAAGAAATAGAAATTTCTTTTGTGAAATTCAAATGTGTATTAATTCTGCAAATTTTGGAAAAAATAAGATTTAGGAATTTATTTTATTTTACTCTCTCTCTCTCTCTCTCTCTCTCTCTCTCTCTCTCTCTCTCTCTCTCTTATGTCGCGTTTTGGAATCATATTTTTAAATAAATAATTATTTATATATATATATATATATATATATATATATTCATACATGTTTAATTAAATAATATAGACAAGTGTTGTCTATTTATTTTATGTAAATTCTCTTCATAACGTCTGATAAGCTTAATGCTTTTGAAAAAATACTGCCTAAATACACACACAATATATATATATATATATATATATATATATATATATATATATATACGCGTGTGTATGTGTGTGCGCGCGCGCGCCTTAATGTAAATACTGCCTCAAAAATGTGTGTCTCTTAATGTAAATACTGCCTCAAAAAGGCAGCAAATCCTTTATCAGATGATGGTTTTGGCGTTATTTAGTTCGAGAGCTTAAACACAATTGCCCCTAGGACTCCCCAGCAATACCGCGTAATAAAAGTAGGCGTTTTATTGATTTTCTGTCGCAACGGTAAAATACTAAATCTATAAACATGGAGACTTGGTTATATTTGCTTCTTTTTCTTATGAATTCAATCAGGTCTACTGATATCGAGTTGCCAGTAAAAACTCGGCATACCAATTCGATGGTCAATAGAATTTTATTTCCCAGTTATGCACATAAATGCGACTCTCTAATCTTGATAATATTTTAAATTACGTTAACGAGTTGTGATCTTCCTCAATAAGGGCGCTTAATTCAACGGTTTGTTTTAATCAACTGATCAGATGACAATACAATGTTGTCCGCGTACGGACCAATAGCCACACGAGATTAAATTTATTATAAGTAATTTTTTTTAAGCTTTTCACCCCAATCAAGGCAATAAACTCACTGAGAGTTAAAGAATAAGAGAAAAAGAAAACATTAAGGAGAGAAAACAATAAAAGAACAAGAATTAAGAATTAAGAAAATAACGATTGATATTGCATTTAAATTTTTGAAAATCAAACTTGACTGGAAAACAAGATGGCGGAAGAGAGTTCAACAAGAAGAAACGTACGACTATATCTAGCCATTTCACCTCTAAAAATGATGAGATCTAGCTGCCAATCTAGGTCAGTCACTTACGTGTCATATCGTTTGATACATGACTGGCGAGGCAGATTTTTTCCGTAGTCCAGTTGCCATTCAAGGATATAGAACCAGCTGGAGTAGGGGGGGGGAGAAGAAGAGGTTTCATACTTTTCCCAAGGGTATTAGCACGTAAGTGAATGAAACGGATTCGACTGGAATTCGAACTCGGCTCACCGATTCCTTAATCCGAGCCGTTATCCATTACTCCGCCTAGGACAGGGTTTAAATTCGTAATGTTGAGGTACAGGAGGAAAACTCATCCGAACAATCATTATTAAAATACTTACAGAAAAGACACATGGAAGCTACGTTACGATGGTGGGGAAAGTGACTGAAGCCGAGATGCCAGGACATGACCAAGAACATTGCGGACTCTAAATACATGGCAGAAGCATCAAACCGGATGTGGCAGCAATATTCAATCCATTAACGAAAAGCAGACTTATGTGCAAGACAGATTTTTGACCAGAAAAATTGACATGACACAGCGAACCAACTTTCCTAGCAGCTGAGCTAGTAATTGCTTTATTATAATCTTTCCACTTCATGTCTTTTACCTAAGTAATCACAATGTTATTCTTCCGGAGGTTAGCATCAGCCATGCTTAAAGGTGTCAAAAAGGTTGTTTAAGATGATTAAAAGATATCAATTACTTTTGGGGCATTAAAATTAACAATCCATTTCTTTCCCAGGTTAACAACAGATATTCAACTCCGGAATTCTTCAGTTAATATCAGCTCGTTGGTGTATGGCTTTGGGAGTTTTCCCCGAGGATAGATTTCTTCTTCTCACGAGGATACAAGAGGCTAATTGTCACTCACCTCTCGGGAGAGGCTTTTATATAACTTCGCTTTATATCTATCGCTTGCCCTTCATGGGTTTAAGCACAACTGTTTATATGTCGGAGGCAGCCACTGACTTACTGTGTGGGGTGAATGCAACTGGCCGCAATGAGAACACTTTCCAGATCAACCCGCTGATGCACCTGACTTCTCGCATACTTCACGTGATACTGAGGGCAAAATCTATTTCGGTATCATCTGGAGTGAGCCCAATACATATTGGATTTTCTCTTCGAAGAAAGTTTCTTTATGGACATCAAACTGAATTCAGACCATCTGGCGCTATTCACAATGTCAGTTTACTGATCGGTTTCAAGTAATTGATTATTTTTTTACGGCTTATCGACCCTATGAGATACATGCAGTTTCTCTACGATGTCTCTACTGCGTGATTTTGGATTCTTTTTAATCAGCGTTTTGACCTGATCATGATCAACGACGGCAGGCCTGTCGGAATATTGTTAATATTGCACATCAAAATTTCTACTTCTCAAAGAAGAGAACTACTTACCAACAAGCTGGTACCATCATATACTTTTTGTTGTTTGTACAGTGTTTCTTCTGGAAATAACAGAGCGTCAAATGACGAAAAGGCATCTCATCTATATATAAAATTCTGTGACTTCTGTTAGTCCGTCCGTCCGTCTGTCAGTCAAACCCGCTAAAATAGCCACAGACTGACCGATCGAAACCAAATTTTTGGGAAAAGTGCAAACAGGCAAGGGGATACAAAGTACAGTTGGTTTTACTAGGGTGCTTACCTTAGTCCAATAAATTTTCATTAATTTTTTTTTTGGAAGAAGTAAAAGTTTTATTATTTAACATACAAAATTCTCCAACTATTTTAAAAACAACTTAATGGTTAAAATGGTAATTACTTATTTAATAAAAATGCAATATTGTTTTTACATATCTTTTCTTTAAGTTTATATATATATACAAGAATCCAGTTTCCTGTTCGCCCCGCGTTTGTGAGAACTATAAACAAATCGCAATGCCAAACGCTTCAAAAGCTTGGAATTTTGATCCAGAAAGAAATATTTACGCATGTTCAGTTGTATGTTGCATGCTCAAGAGTAAGAAATCCTAAGAAGTTATTCTACGCTGTTAAAAAGAAAAAAAGGATAAAAAGAATTTTTCTTGAAAATATTGTTTACTATAAATTCCTATAAAATTAAATGAAATTAAAGAAATTATTCAACTGCGAAGTAGGGTTTTATGTGAAAGTATTTCACAAACAAATCAGCTTATTCAAATTTCATCGATTGGTTTGCGAAATTGAACGAAACGTAGAGTTTGTAAATCTTGACAAAAATGTTAGCGATAGCATCAACAATATTAAGTATTGTGAGGATTTCAACTTGAGGCACACATGGCACAGTGGATAAAGACGTGTGACATCTTTGCCGCGGCGTCAGCTGTTCGCTCCTCGCTGCTCCAAACGTGACGTTCTAACCCTTTGGTTAGATTGATACCAGCCTCGCCGTTCCCAACCCGCTTCCAACGCCTGGTTACCAGGGTAACTGCACTGATCTCCAGTCTGCCTACCCACGTTGTGAATTGATCTTAGACAGACGAGATCAAACAGGGGTTGGGGCCGTAATGCAAGTTGAGTTCAACGGGGGTGATAACACACAATTATGTATAAAAAAGAAAATAAAATAAAAACTCACAAGGTCCAAAGTATCAAAAGAAAAAGGTAACAAACTTTTTATGTCTATTTGCTCGGTACATAGGACTATGTCTACTTCCCGACCCGTTCTGTGGATTGTGGCACGACGCTTTTACTAGGCAACTTTAAGGCTTCAAGTTGTCTGCTCTCTAAGAAATTTGTGTTTCGGTGTGTCTTTGGGCGAAAGTCGAAAAAAACTTATTTCTGTGGTCTTGATTCTAAGTCGCTCTTCAAACTACTTGTTCTTGGTTGAAGAAGAGTCCAGAAGTGTGCGTGAATCTTGGTCAGCTATCTTGACGCGGTTTCAACACTGGGCGCTCATCTCTGCTTGTCGTCCAAGGTTCAAAACTTCTCGCCAGGGTCCGTGGCTCAATCTGACTTCTTCTCTCCGGCTTGGGTCGAACGAACTGAACTGATTTCTGTCGCTTGGGGTCTCGTTTTTATTGACGCAGTCAAAACTGGGGTGGGTCTGTCGGCGCCAGGGGTTCTTCTATAATTCTAAATACGTATCCACCCTTCTTATTTCTGGTTAGGGATTTTTCATTCTTTTTTCCATTTTCGGTAACTCACTCTCTCCCCACTCCCTTACTGTGCCTCTGAGGGCGTGTACCCGCCTCCCACTTCTTCGTGTCGGCTTCTCAAACTTACACTTCTGACAGGGGCGTCGACCGATTCTCCTCGTGCGTCACGTGACCGCTCTCGGCCAATGAGGTCCTGGTCGGGTATCTTTCCTCCTCCTTCGTGTGTCATGTGATCTTATTTAGCCAATGACGTCTTAGTCAGGCGTGGACAATCCGTGGCTTTGTTTTTGGGAAAGAAATACCTTGCTTAAAAAACAAAATATTAATTTAAATCGCCCTTATCATGAGCGACTGAGATGACACTCTCGGCTTTTTTAACACGTGGTATTTGTCAAGCAGTTTATCGCTAATTGGATATGATCTAAGAAAGGAATTTCTCAGACTCGTTGGCGTTTCTGAAATGGAATAAAAATATTTCATTTTCCCTCCGCTCGAAGGTCTGATAATAAAAATATTTATTATCTCAAAAAAATTTTGCCAGTGACAACACCTTGTGTGGGCCTTTTCTAATTCTGAAGACTGTCTGTGTTTTCGTATTAATGGTTTGTCTTCATATCCTTAGATACACTTCCCCACCCACTTAGACCTTTACTATCATTCCAATGACACACTTTCCCACTTGTTACTTATCAATATTTTCATTGTCCCTAAATTTCGTTTCTTCTTTTCCCCCTTTCTTTCTTTTCCCTTGGGTGACAACCAATTGATAACAAACTTCCATTTTTCGCGGATCCGCGGAAATCGGTCAGATGTTTGACCTGAATATTTTTCGACACCTGTTATCTGTCAGCCGTGCGTGTGTGTGCTCGCCTATGACCTGTTTTCGTTTTATTTTTTCTTTCTTTCTTCTTCGTTTTCTATTTCTTTCTCCCAGATCGCTTGAATGTAAAGAAAGAATTATTCTTAAAACCCAAAATATTTTTCGGCCTTAAATAATTATTAAATGGTTGATAAACCGTAAAAAACAAATCATATATCTATGAATATTTCTCTCAGCTCGTCAGGTATGCATGGTGCCACAGACGTTAGTTAGATCCAGTGACAGGGCTCAAAAAGTGTGAGTTCAATACCCGGTTAAGGCCGTGGGGAACTTTGAGAGGGGAATTAACAGGAGATAACTGACATCTATTAGACATGGCACGTGGAACTAGAACAGTCTATACCAGTGAGCGAAATAAAGGATTCAGTTCGACATTCCAACCAAAAACCTGAAGAAGGCTCCAGCGTACAACGGCCGAAACGTTGTGATAAACATGGCGACAAAGATGAGGAAAATAGTTCGAATAATGTAAATAGTGTACGTGTTAGCGTGTTGCAAAAAATCTAGTTTTCCAATTTTAACTTAGGAACTTTTCCATAACTCACTCACAAAGTATATAGAAAGACGCCCTAAAATATCGCCTTCCAGAATATGTATATGTATAAGTAGAGAGGTAGATATGTTATAAGTTTCAGTCACCTGTGAATTGAACACGCACGTTCGAACTATGTCTATTGGCAAACGCTTAAACTCGAGTTCCAACTCAAGAAAATCGCAAGAAAGATTTTAGGTTATCACAGATTTAAAGATTTTCTTGCCAAAATCGCTTCCATTTGCGATTCTTATTTTTGTTTTGTAGGACAGTAGTCTCCAACCTTTTTTATGCCCCGTCCTGGGTATGATGATAAACTACATCCGCGGCCTGGATTTGATGATAAACTACATCCGCGTCCTGGGTAAGACAATAAACTACGCCCAACAGCAAGGCCTCTGATCAGGTTTTGAGGAGTGTGGAACCACCTCTTAATTGCTGGTGTCTCAGGTCCACCCTGACCCGGGGTGGTAGCACCTGTTAAGGTCCTAGCTATGGGCAGATAGTTAACCTCGAAACTGAGGTAAAAAGCATTGTAAAAGTGTAAAAATAGGTTTTAATACCAGAAATACTTTAAAAAAATTTGTTACCAGAAATAAATTTTTGAAGAAAAAAAAAACTATTACCAGCAATACGTTTTTGAAAAAAAATATAATACCAGCAATACATTTTTTTAAATTATATTACCAGCTATACATTTTTTTTAAATAATATTACCAGCTATACATTTTTTAGGAATAAAATATTACCTGAAATAGATTTTTGACAAAACAAAATATTACAAGGAAAAAATGTTGTCAGCTTTAAATAACCCATTGAGGTTGATAAGCCGTAAAACCCAACAAACCAAACGAAACCAAGTGAATAATTAAAAAAAAAAACTTTTTACGAAAATAAAGCCATCCAAGATTGCAAATTTCCTAAAAGAATTTGGATTGTACTCAAAAATATGAGTAATTGAAAAACAGTTCAAATATATATGTATACACACACATTTTTTACCAACCTATCGCTATGAATCTATTTCAAAAATTTTCTTTCCATTAAATAACCCACTGAGGTTGATATTCCATAAAACAAAACAACCAACCAATTTTTTCGTGCCATGGACCGGCTTCATACCGGGCAATCTTTCTGCGGACTGGTAGTGACACATGTGTAATTTAAGTGCATTTCGATAAAGAGATTAATTATAAAAAGAGCAATTTATTAAGGAGAAGAAAAATGTGTAATATTTTGATTTTTATGTCTGGGTTCCAGGCTGACTTCACACTTACATAATTAGTTTCCCTGGATCAATACCAATTACACTATTATCGCATCAACTCCCCATAATGTAAAACTTATTACAAATAAATAAAAATATACATAATTTTATAAAGCCAACGAAAACTCGTTGCCACTTTTGTGATGTCAACGAATACTCGTTGTCACTTTTGTAATGTTCGTTGTAGTAGAGACTTTGTAATCGCAGATAAAAATATAGTGACGCCGTTGAACAATACTGGTGTCAAACGCCTTCGAACCGAATAACACTCGCATTAATAGTACTTTCTCGATAATACTTGCTCGAAAAGTAACCACCGAACAGTGATCCGAATAGAGAATAGTGTAAAGAAGAGAGTAGAGAATAGCGCTCCGTATAGTGATAGAGGAGATATACCGATCAATTAGACGTCACGCAACTTCCTACTTTTGCGTTTCCTCTATGGTCACGTGGTCTACTTAATTCCATAATGGGATCGCCCGTGTTTGCTCATTGGCGATCTATGTTCAAACTCAAGTGTCGGTAGCGACACTTTATTCCTATATAAGACGTAAATTGTAAAATGTACTTGCAGTTCTGATAGTATTGAGGAGATGAATATTGAATATTTAAACAAATCTTTTTAAATTAAACTTCAATATTCAATTTATCTATTATATTATTTAAAGGAAGTTAACTATTTCTTTGCGGCTCGGTAGCAAATGAACCACAGGCAGGTCACCGGTGTTGGTGAACCTCTGCCCTACAACATATATAGACAAATATAGGTACAGTATTTATTAAATTATCAGTATCTGTGTTTCCAATCATTCAGTTGTTCGGAATGTAACGGGGTGGATCTGTTGAGATGTTAAAGTAATCACTCTATTGTTACATGTAATTTTAGTTAATAGAGGAATCCTTTTCTCTTTTTTATACTGAAAATGAAATGAATAAAACGTACAACAATAACAAACAACAATGCTTTGAAACACGTTTTTGAAATTAAAGACAAGAATATGTATTTTTCGTTTCGTGATGTCAAATACAATATCGGTATTCTGTGTGTTAGAACTGTTCTCACTGTTATTATTTCTTTTCTTTAAAAGCTTATGCTTACTTATTTTTGCTTGTTCCGATAACGTCCTTGTTAAGGGTAGTGTCTGAGACCGTTAACTGTGGATTTTTACGGAGCGAAGAAAATTCGTCTGTGTTCTTTTTACTACTGCTACTTCCACCTGTTCTATTTTACTGATTTCCTTGTGGTAGAAGGGTCATTTATATAATGAAGTTTCAGATTTTAGAATGATGAAATATTTGATCTTTATTTCCAAGATAATGAAATATTTTTATCATTAATCATCACTGGTGGCAAGATTGTTTTTAGATATATAGTAAAGGTAGACGTAAAATATACAGAGTGTTGCAGCAAAATCCGGCACTTGACAAAAAGAGAACGAAATAGACAATAAAAACAAAAGATGTATATGCAGATACCAGACAGTTTGACAACTAACTAACGTTTTTCTCTCTACACTTTTCAAGGATGGAATATGAGCGAAGAGCAGCGGTAGTAGCTTCTTTTCGCGTCGGGAAGAATCCTGCGGAAGTGATGGCCTGGTTTGGGTTCAAGAGGGCCATGGTCATGGACATTTGGAGGAAGTGGAAGACATGTGAGAACAAGGACGAGTTTACTGCCAAACGAAAGGCCAACAAAGTTCGTTCTTCGGCCGTTAGGACCGACGAGTTCATCGCCGCCGTCAAGGAGGCAGTCGACAATGATGGAAGCGAGAGCTACGCCAAGATCGCCGCTGACATGGGCTGTCACAAGTCGACGATCTGCCGAACGATCGAGAAGGACATTGGTTACTCTTCCTACCGCAAGTCTCACCGCATGTTCATCACGAATGTCTTCAAGGATTTGAGGAAGGTCAAAGCAAGCGGATTTGCTGAATGAGTTCAAGCACGGGTCTGCCGGGATGCTGAGGTTCTTCTCTGATGAAAAGAATTTCATCCAGGACCAGACGAACAACAGGTAGAACGACAGGTGGATCTGCAAAGACATCGAGGTGGTTTCCGTCGTGAAGCATACGAAGTTTCCCTCCACCGTCATGGTCCTTGGCGTCATCTCCAGCGAGGAAGGGGCGTCATGCCTCCGTTCTTCTTTCAAAAGAGCCTGAGAGTCATCGTTGAGATCTACCAGGAGGTGCTGAGGAGCGTGGTGAAACGCTGGATAGACGAGATCGCCGCCAGACACCCCTACGTCGTCCAACAGGACTCCGCTCCTGCACACATGGCCAAGACGACCCAGGCGTGATTGCTCAACAATGTTCCTTCCCGCTGGTCGTCGGGCTTGTGACCGCCCTACTCACTCGACTGCAACCCCCTTGACTATTTCTTCTGGGGTGTGATCGAGGCCAAGTCGAACAAGCAAGCCCACAACACGGTCGACTCTTTGAAGCCTGCCACCGTGGAGGCGTTGCCGCTATGAACAAGACATGGTCGCCAAAGCGTGTGACTCATTTCGCGCCCGCCTTGAGATGGTCATCGCCGCCGCAGGCGGTTACGTTGAAAAATAATGTAGTAAGTAACTCTAACTGTTGCTAAATAAACTGTCGGGTCTCTGCATATACAACTTTTGTTTTTATTGCCTATTTCGTTTTCTGTTTGTCAAGTGTCGGATTTTGCTGAAACATCCTGTACATTATTTACAAAAATATACATTCATTGTAAAATCCACTTACAGTTATGAGAGATAATATTGAGTGGATGAATATTAAATATTTAAACAAATCTTTTTAAATTAAAGTCCAACATTCAATTTATGTATCATATAATTTTAAACAAGTTAATTATTTCTTTGTAGCCCAGTAGCAAATGATATATGAATTGTTACCGGTCCGCGGCCCGGTGGTTGAGGGCCTCCGTTGTAGGATATTAGCCCCTATTTAATAAACACGTAAAATTCAGGAAGGGGCTTTATATTCAATATAACATCCGCTTCACTCTCTGTATCAAACTGACACCTCTTTCAAAGTTGAGAAAAATCAATAGCAGACTGTGTATTAAATCGTTTTATTCGTATTATATTGATAGAGATTTCTAATATCTGATCATTTTTAATGTTTCGCTATTTACACATGGTAATATTAAATTAATAAGGCTAATCTTGGCTTCATTAAATTGAAGTTTCATTTTTAGACTTTAAGATAAAGCGATTAAGCTTTTGTGATCGTAAAAAATGGCTGCCAGCATAGATAAACATGAAGAATAAATTTGATAGAGTGAGCGGACACATAGCAACCACTTGTTCACAATTACTTTGGCTATAAAGCCAATAACAGCAAATTTACAAACTTAGAAGACCTCATAAGATTAAATTATTTTAAGAAATTGATTTCTAGTTGTAACTAGAGTCTGTCTATATTTCTGGGATGCAGTGATTTTGTACATTATTTACATTATTCGGACTATTGTCCTCATCTTTGTCGCCATATTTATCACAACGTTTCAGCCGTTGTACGCTCCGGCCTTCTTAAGGTGGTTGGAATGTCGAACTGAACCCTTCATTTCGCTCACTGGGGTAGACTGTTCTAGTTCCACGTGCCATGTTTGATGGATGTCAGTTAATTCTCCTCTGCCTTAACCGGGTATTGAACTCACACTCTTTGGGTCCTGTAACTGGATCTAACCAACGTCTTTATCCACTGTGCCATGTCCTTGAGTAACTAGTAAATATATTTCAAGGATGAAAAACAATCCAGCACTGCATGCGCAGACACATGGGTTAATGGATAAAAGCATTGGTTGACTTCCGTGACTAGGCTCAAAGTGTTGTGATTTGGTTAAATAAAATGACTTCACCCAAACAGTTTTGAGTTCAATACCTGGCTACAGCTGAGTTCTTGAAGAGCTGACGATAACTGTTACTGAAACACCTGGAAGAGGAATGACATGTAGAACTACGAAGTGCCTACCCCGGTGAAAGAAAATAAAGGTTTCAGTTTGAAATTCCAATCAGAAAGCCAAGGCGTACAACGGCCGAAAGGTCGTGAATATGGCAACGAAGATTAGGAAAAGAGTCTGAACAATGTAAATTGTGTAAATAATTACAATACCTCATCGCAAAAAAATATAAACAGATTCTGAAGAAAGCCAAAGCGTGCAACAACCGAAACGTCGTAAATATGCCAACGAAGATTAAGACAAGAGTTTGAACAATGTAAATAGTGTAAATAATTACAATACCTCATTTCAGAAATATAGACAGATCCTGAAGGAAACCGAAACTTGCAATGGTTGAAACGTCTTGAATAGGGCAACAAAGGTTAGGACAAGAACCCGAATGATGTAAATAGTGTAAATAATTACAATACCTCATCTCAAAAATATAGACAGATCCTGAAGAAAGCCGGAGCTTACAACGGCCGAAACGTCGTGAATATGGCAACGAAGATGAGGACCAGAATCTGTACAATGTAAATAGTTGTAAATTATTCATGCAAATAAAAGTTAAAGTTATTAGGTTGGATAGGAAAGAAGAAAAGCCTTATAGGAAGGTTGGTTGTTTTTGTTTAGCAGCATATCAACACCTCTATGGGTTATTTGATGCCGAAATCTAAATATTTTGCACGGAATCATATGCTTTCGTCCACAGATATTTTCTACATCTTTTCATTCTTAAAGGGTAAACGTATATTTTTAGGTAGGTAGTTTGTATATGATAAAATGTTTGTTAGTTTTTCGTCTTTAGATAAGTGTGGTAATAAGCAAACCCCCATCTCCCCTCTCGCTTGTAACTATCCACCCCAATAAATATAACGTTGCCAGCGTTAAAGATGAAATAGTCTTATAAAGCTTCATTAATATCTGGATTACATCATTATTTTATTTTCATGTTAGATGTGCTATATATTTTAGCCTTTGAAGATCTTCAAGTGATGGGGTTTCGCCTATTTCGTACAGTTCTTCGCTTGTAATTCTGTAGAGCCAGTTCCAAACGTTTCGAAGCAGCAGGCTTCATTTACTTGAAACCATTTTAATCATTGATCTGAGAAATTGGTTGTATATAGCTGAGAGTTTAGACAATTCTGAACGAGTCGGACGCCATGCATGACATCCATATGAATGCCTAACATTTAACGAGGCAATTTAAGAAAAGGTATACAGCTTTTAAAACTGAAATAGTCTGATAAAGCGCCCGAAACTTCAACTTAAGTCTTGCTACTCTAAGCAACTAAAATGATGGTGTTAAAATGGGCATGAATTGTTTAATGTTAAAATACAACCACTTTTTGGAGAGAACTATTTCATGTTGGTGTCAAATCTGCTTTTAGCGGAGATCATGAAAGATAATGATTCTTGTTTAATGTCAGTACATAATGGCGGAAGTCCCGATAAATTTCAGAGGCTGGTACAGGAATTATTAATATGTTTTATTTTTAAACAGTAAAGAAACATTCCCTTCAATGAATAAACGCAAATATATGTTTTGCAGTAGATTGAACTCTTTAGCTGCAATGAAGATTATATGGTTGATTGTTTATGTATAGCGTCATATCAAACTCTATTTAATGCCGAAATATTTTACACTCATTTTTTTAAAATAATAATGGTTTTAGTGATACAACTTTTACTAATTAACCCATAGCTGAGGGAGAAGAAATGGATTCATACCTTTACCAATGGTTTTTGCGCATAAGGGAATATAACAAACCCAATTGGAATTGGAACTTGGCACTCCGATTAACAATATTGAGCTGTTATGACATTACACACGCTGCACATCCGAGCTTATAACATCTGGTATTCCCAAGTGGTCACCCATCAAGGTATTGACTAGGCTTGACGTTGCTTAAGTTAGGTGATCGTACGGGGACCAGTATTGGAACATTTTTCCGTAAGCCTGAATATTAAGAACATTGGCTAAAGACATAAAAGCAAATGAACTACAACCTTTAAGTTAACATCACAAAAAGAAAAGTGTCAATTGGGTGAAGTAGTACATGAAAACTGCCTGCACAAAAGTAATTTAAATTGATAAACAAACTTTTAGGGGCTGGGTCCTTCATGGAAACCAACAACCAACATTATGTAGAAGACAACAGGGAGGCAGAGAATTCTTTTGCTACTATTGCAACAGGGAACTGGTGTTTCCATATTGATATGGACGTAAGCCAGAATATTAAGAACTTTGACTAAAAATATGAAATCAACTGAACTATCAGCCTTAAGTAAATCTCACAAAAGGAAAAGTGTCAATTGAGTGAAGTAGTACATGAAAACTGACACCTCAAAAGCAATTTAAATTGATAAACAAACTTTTAGAGGCTGGGTCCTTTATAAAAACAAACAACTAACATAGTGGAGGAGATGACAGAGAAGCAGAGAAGTGTTTTTAGCTAGTATTGTAAACAGTAAAACTAGACGTCCCTTAAAAAACTAACAATGGTATCAAGATAAATATAGGTTCCTGAACAACACATATTTTGAAATGTCCAGGTCATAGCCAAGATGTCTGAAGTTAAAGATTACATTCATGCAAGACAATTTTATTTCATATCCTGCAAAGCTGACTATTGCCAAAAAAAGGTAGTAAAAAAAAATCAAATTATTGAAATGATCTTCAGCCGAACAGTATGTCATTAAAAGAAATATGTATAAGAATGGAAAACCATCATCCAAGAAAACATGATCTTTGGGAAGAAATAAAAACTGTTGCATGTTGAAGTTGAGAAAAAAATAGAAAAGGTTCTAGAATATCAAGTAGCCCATATGTAAAAATGTTAAAATAATAATTTATTCAGGTATATAGGATACAGTGATAATAAAAATGTATTTCTATGACATTATATATATATATATATATATATATATACACGCACAGAGTGTGCAATGAATAAATTGTCCTCTAAATTATGGAAAAATGAAAATAAAACTGATATCTCAGATATATTTACCAAAATTACACAAAAATAAAAAATAAAATCGTCTACAGCTGACTACTGATAAAAAAAGTTCTAACAACATCAAATTAACGAAATGATCTCCAGCCTAATAGTCTATCATTAAAAGAAATTTGTATGAGAATGGAAAACCATCTTTGGTGAGGAAGATAACACAGATTTAGTGATACAAGTCTTACTAATTAGCCCATAGCGTGGGGGAGAAGAGGGTATTTGATCATAAGTGAATTTTGAATCTCGTAAAAAATTATCCGTGATTTTGGTTTATTAATGTTTATTTATTATTTGCAATCAGGACATCACAGTCCTGGAGGAATGATTGACTGATTCGTTTTCTACGGCTTATCAACCCTTTTCAGGTTACTTAAAGCCAGAAAATAGATTAGATTGTAAGAATCTCTGAGGGAGATAATAATGGTATAGTCATATTAGTCTTACTATTTAACCCATAGCTTGGGAGAAAAGTAGTCGATTCATACCTTTCCCAATGATATTTAAGTGAATATAACTGGAATTAGAACCACGCTCTCCGAATTACAATTCTGAGCCATTATCCATTATACCATTCGAACATCCAAGCAACTGGTATCCCGAAGCGGTTACCCATCTATGTACTGACCTGCTTAACTTCGATGACCTTATGTGGACCGAGGTTTCAACGTGATGTCACATTAAGCCCTTTATACCACACGCTCATACAACAGCGCTTGGAATATTCAAGCGGTTACCCATCTTTGTACTGCCCAGACTCGACGTTGATCGTATGTGGGCCGGTGTTTCAACGTGATGCAATATTAAGCCCTTTATGCCACCAGCCCCTAGAAGATTATAGCAACTGGTATTTCCAAGCAGTCATTCATTTAGGTACTGCTCCTTGATCGATGTTGCTTAACTTCAGTGATCGTAAGGGAACCGGTTTTTCAACGTATTGTTGGGTTAAGCTCTTTATACCACCGGCACATACAATCTTACAGCACCTGGTATTCTCAAGCGGTCACCCATCAAGGTACTGACCAGGCTCGACGTTGCTTAACTTCAGTGATCGGAAGGGAACCGGTGTTTCAACGTATTGTTGGAGTAAGCCCGTTATACTGTAGAGCAAGCACGTAGCCAAGATAAACACTCAGTTGTGGAGCAAGCTGAGTGAATAATCCTTCAACCTTGAGAAAGAGAGCGATTTATGGCGCCATGGAGCATCTCATTGGGCTAAAGTGGGGTAGTCCATTGCTTGGGCTGTGATTGGCTGCTGGTACATGAGTGGAAGTATTTCTATATAAATACCAGCTTGATTCATCAGTTAGTTTGCAGGGTTTGTATTGAGTTACAACCTGCTTTATTTTTGTCTGCCAGCTGGACGCTATTCTCAAGCGGTCACCCATCAAGATACTGACCATGCTCGACGTTGCTTAACTTCGGTGTTCGTAAGGGAACCGGTGATTCAATATATTGTTGGGTTAAGCTCTTTATACCACCAACAAACAAAAGATTATAGCAACTGGTATTCCTAAACTGTCATTCACCTATGTACTGACCAGGCTCGACGTTGCTTAACTTCGATAATCATAAGTGAACCTATATTTCAAAGTGATGTGATCTAACACCGTTATACCACCGGCACATACAATCTTACAGCACCTGATATTCTCAAGCGGTCACCCATCTATGTACTGACAAGGTTTGACGTTGCTTAACTTCGGTGATTTTACATGGACTGGCATATCAATCTGTTGTGGCCTTAAGCCCTTTACATACAAGGTTACAGCACCTGACATTTCCAAGCGGTCACCCATCAAGATACTGACCAGATTCGACGTTGCTTAACTTCACCGATTGTAAGTGAACCGGTGTTTCAACGTGTGGCCTTATGCCCTTTATACCACCTGCACATACAATCTTACAGCACCTGGTATTCTCAAGCGGTCACCCAGTTATGTACAGCTCTTTGCACGACGTTGCTTAACGTCGGTAATATTACGGTAACCGCTGTTCCAACGTGATGGACTGAGGTACGAATCCTATGAGAGAACCTTCACAAACGTGTAGTAATTGATTCAGAGCTCTGACTCGAATTTACCTTTAGTAAAAAAACTTTGTTCTGTGATAACCCCAGTCATTAGTGAATTCGCTCTAGCAGATATCAAAGTAGGTTTCGCATTCGTTATCACGCCAATGCATCAAAAAAGGCAGGTGTATCAGCCGGTCGACCTGGAAGGTATCCTCATAGCCACCAAGTGCAAAATCGGTTTTCAAAATTTGTCAATGGCTGCCCAAACATATAAATAAGAAGTTGGCCCAGCTGCGCTTAGAATGGGCACACGCGGGACAAGCGGATGACACGAAGTTATATAACCCTCAACCCGAGAGGGAAGGTCTGTAGTCTCTCACATCCTCGCGAGATTATTAACGTTCAATGAAACTCACTAAAACCATCCATCCACACTTTGGAAAATGTTAATCTCTTTTTTTAATCTCGCATTAAAGGTTATTATAGTTTTCCTTTTTGTTTCATGAAACTCGATATTTAAAGATGCATATGCCGATTTCTTCAGATAGACAAGTATAAGTCTTTGTGTAAAAACAAACTTTTGGTAAACAAAATTACGTCATCCCACGTCTTATGTGTGTAGGCGGTGTTATGGATAACGGCTCAAAATGGGAAATCAAAGAGCTGAGTTCGAATTCCAGTCAGGTTCGTTACATTCACTTACGTTAAAATGGGAAAACTATGAATCTGTCTTCTCTCCAGCTAGGGATTAAATAAGATTTGTATCTGGAAAAATCATTATTATTCTAAAACGAAATTGTTAATACATTATTCACTTGGTAAAAAAAAATTCTTATTCTTACTGTAGAAGACCGTGTGTGTTTTCGTGTTGTTAAATTAGAAACATGTGTGTAACTCCTGGTAGAATATTAAAAGGTCCAACTAAAAGAAAATGGCCGGACTTGAATTAAGTCCAACTGAAGATGAAGAAGACAAACAAGACCGATATATATATATATATATATATATATATATATATATATATATATAAATAAAAGAAAGAAAAGTAAGATATATAATCCAGTGTTCTTATAGATATTTTTATTTTTACAAAATAGTGCTCAATGTAAATTTACAGAGCATTAAAATTATAAATTAACTGATTTAAAATTATAAATTAATTGATTCAATATTATAAAATAATTGATTTAAAATATTTAATATTATAAATTAATTGATTTAAAATATGTTTTTTTTTCGCTACACAGTTCTAACAGTTTTTTGAAACATGGTTAGAACTGTGTAAGAAAAAATATATGTATGTGTGTATAATATCCATGGCGTCTCCCACAAATGGGAAGACGCGGATCTTCTAAGAGAGCTTAAATTGTAGTCGCTGAAATGAAGATTTGAAAAAGAGAACATGGCGAGAAGTCGCCCAGTATTTATAGTATCGGGAGAATGACCCCTAGTGACAATTTGGGAATTAAGGAGGAGCTAACTCCGACATTACAATCTAAAATATATATTCCTAAATAAAAAAAAAAATGGTTGATACGCAGTAAAAATAAATCAATCCGTCAACGCCCACGTCTTAATATCAAAAGATTACACGGCTAACAGGATTTATTTATTTGTTTAAAGGTCTGGAACATTATTTATTATGATTGAAGGTGAGGGAAAAAGTAATTCACCAAGAGAAATATTCAAAAGTTTGACAGCAAAATTTTGATAAAAAAAATTAAATATTAAAATATGAAATATGTTTCTAGCCCATTGGTCGAGTGTTGATGCAGGCGACACCAAACTAATGAATAATCATTGAAATTGTAATGATGCAGACGATAACAGACGAATGAATAAACATTGGATTTTTGGTGAAGCAGGTGATATTTAACTAATGAATAAACATTGGCCTTCTGGTGATACAAGCGATGCTAAACTAACAAATAAACATTAGACTTCTGGTGATACAAGCGATGCCAAACCAACGAATAAACATAGGTATTGTTTTGATACATGGGATACAAAAGAAAACAATGGTCTTTTCTTGATACAGGCAATGAATACTTAATTAATAAACTGTTTATTTGTGTTGACACAAGCGATACATAAATGAATCAACATCTTTTAGTCATGATTGGAATATTGGATAAACAATGGGATTTTCTTGATACAGGCAATCAATACTTAATTAATAAACTGTTTATTTATATTGATACAGGCAATACAAAATAACGAATAAACATTGTGGTGACGCATGGAATATCAGAGAAATCGATAAACTATGGAGTTTTGTTGATGCAGGCGGTGAATACTTAGTTAATAAACTGTTTACTTGTGTTGACACAGACAAGACATGCGCTAACAACAAAACCAAGCAATAAATATTGACCTTGATTGATGTTTGCAATATGAAACCAGTACAGAACCATTGATCTTTTGAGGGCACATGCGTTCAGAAACAATGCATAAATATTGGTTTTGCGGAAGATAACCAATATTTGGTTCTACAGAACATATAGGACTAATGAATAAGCAGTTGTTTTGTGATGCTACATAAGATGCCAAATCAAAGTAGAAGCATTGATCTTTTGCGGATGCAGATGTTTAAAAAAAAACACTAAATATACATGAACTTTTTTTGACTACAAGAGCCACAGAAACAATGGATGAACAATCACTTGCTAGGTAATCAAAGACAGCGAATAAATATTTGGAATATGTGATTAATGCCAGGAAATCTCAGATGTCCTAAACCAGTGCTTCTCAACCTTTTTCAGACCATGGACCATTTTTTTTCTTCAAAAATTAAAATAAATCACTCCTACTTTTACTTTTAGGCTGTTCAATTTTTACACTAAGATGCTCAATGAAAAGACAGTCTATTTACACTTTAAAATATTTTAAAAAACAAATATGTATAATAGAAATATTTATATGAATAATAATTTATATTATGTATAGCATATATATATATATATATATAATAAGAATATATGATAAAAAATAAATATAGCACTGCATAATACCTTCGTAATTTCGAAATTTTCAAATATAATGGACATGTGTGTAATTAAACAAAATATTAAATTGTTTAATCCTTCAAATTATGAACAGTTTTGATACATTTTTCTGAAATGGCTACAATTTTTATGGCTACGAATTCTCTGTGGACCACTAGAAATACTTTGTGGGCCATAGAGAATCAATGTTCGAAACCGAATTTAATATTAATTAACAGCCTTTGTTCTAAGTGACGTTAATCTGTGATGACCCCACCATATACTCGGCTATGTAATAGACTTTGCATATAATGTCACACCAGAAAATAATGTCACACCAGGAAAATAAGCATAACGCTCTACCTGAGTGATATAAAGGAAAAGTCTCTCTCATCTCCACGAGAGAAGAATCTACGCTCGGAATAATTTTACGTATGAGACATTTCACTCGTCTATTCAACACTAAAATTAGATTTTTCGCCCTCTCACGAGAATAAGAATCAACGGTTGAAGAAAGTCCCCAAATCCACACTCCCACTCGCCGAAGTTAAATAACCTATAATTTTACGTATGAGAGATTTAGTCATGTGTTTTCACTCGTCTATTCAACACTAAGATTACAAAAGAGAGAGTAGAAGAATCCACGTTTGGAAAAAGTCCACAAAGCCACACACTCTCAAGTTTATATTAATTGATGATATCCGGAATTGAATATACAAGCAATGTAAAAAAATTCCGGAGTTAAATAAGCAATAATTATACGTGTGGATGATTTAGTCATGTGTTTCCATTCGTCTATTCAATGCTAACATAACAAATTGGTCTCATGACAATGCAGACGATACCAAACCAATCAATAAAAATTTTTTTTGGTGATGCTAGTGATACCATAGCAACGAGTAAGCATTGACTTTTGTTGATGGAAGCAGAATATCCTAAGTTTTCGATCGAGACATTTTATCTTCATTTTGTAGAATGAATTTCTGATGCATATTTGAAAAAAAATAAGTCCCATTTATAGAGAAGGCAATTCCATATCGTGAAACAATGGGACGTACATTAACAGTGGAAAAAAGGAATTCAACTCATCCTGAACCTAAATCCCATGTATATTGGTGGCATAATTCTACATGTGGAACATTTTGGCTTTATTTCTGTTCAGAATCGTTCCAAATTTATCATATTTCAGCCTATAAACATTTCCTTGGTTCGGGAATAGGTAAATACTAATGGTCTCGATTTTATTCTATAAGCATTTACTAGGTTCGGGGATAGGTAAATGCTTCTGGCCTGTATTTGATTCTAGAAGTATTTCGTTCGGGGATAGTTAAATTCTGGTGGATTGTATTTGATTCTATATATATTTATTTGGTTCAGGGATAGGTAAACACTAGTGGCCTCAATTTGACTCTATAAGCATTTAATAGGTTCAAAGATAGATAAATACTGGTTCT